CCGTGCGCGTATGATCCCATCAGGGTTCAGACTTGAGCCAGTTTCTGTTTTAATGGCGATGGAAGCTATAGCTAAAGATCTATGAGAATCGAAGCCCGACGCTTTACCAGCTGAATAACCTCTGTGGCCGTGAATCGTATAATTGTAATTGCCACAATGAACGGTCAGCGTGAATTGATATTTGAAATACCACATTCAACATCAAATCTTTCGATCATTGTCTTGACCACACCGTATCGATTTTTCATTATAATCAATGAAGTGAAGTTTTCTGAGACCGTTTCACATTTCAGGTCATAAGAATGTTGCTAAGTGCATTAGCTTTAAAGAAAGTTCGTTCGGATTCCGGTGGTGGTGACGGTGTAGTTAAATCAAGATTTTTCGATGGTGGTTTTCCAGGCAAGCTCCTGTGCTGTCATTCTGTTGGAGCGTTTGAAACTTCGGCGTTGCCAGGCAATGGCAAAGACTTGTTTGTGATGCGGTAAGTTTCAGAAGTGTCAGAGTTTCGCTCGTTTGTTCAGATTTTGTTTTTTAGCGATGCCATCGATGATGCTTATACGTTGTTTAGAAGCCGGTCGATGGACGACGAGACTAATAGGGCCGTCGAGGAGTCGTTCGATGCTGAGTTGTTGCGTACTCATCGATCGGCCACCATTGACTCCGTCTCAGACACGTGTATTGAATGCCGCCGGCAGAAGACTGTTTCTTTAAGCACTGGCACCTGTCACCAATTCGGTACATCGCCAACTCCCCGTTTCGGGCAACTGATGTCTCCGGCTGACGTCAGTGCTGAACATGAAGGCCGATCGTGGTCAGCAGATACGCCGGACGTTGTTGATTACAGAGCTACTTTCATGGACCATCAGCTGATGGTGGATGTATGGGCTACCATGGAATGTCTTTTGCATTACGCACTCAGTGCTGCTGCTGAGCATCAGACCGTTGAACACGGTTGTCAGACGAATTTGGACTGGAAGATATCAGTGACGAATATCGAAGCCGGCGATCTGGTGTTGGTGGTCTACGACCTCAGGGTAGAGACGTTCGTCGTATTTTGCTTGCTGCCACAGTGGTATATTCTGACCGAGAGTTCCCTGCGTTGCCTGGAGCTATGCAAGGACGACGGTGCCAAGTCCAACAACAAGTGGAAGTTTGGTCGCTTAGTGAAAAAGGAGTATTGCCAAATCAAGAAAAACTCAAACAAGTACAAGTTAAACGTTGGCTGTAAGTTCTACCGAGTCGAAGTGCAGCCGGTCAGGTTCTAATGCTCTGCCCGTCATTACGTCGACCGATTAAAACAGAACGATGGTCCGTTTTGAAACCGATTGTTAATCGTAATTTTTTAGGATAGTGCTTTATTGTGATAACTAAAATTTGCATGTTTTTTATGCACCGAATAAATAAATTTTTTCTCAACTATGCGTCGTTCCTCTTTTTCGTGATTTTGGCTTGCTTGGTCTCCTATATTTTTCTTTTTTGTGCTGTACGTTGTGAATGCACGTTAATCTTTTTGCTTCAATTTTTAAGCTGTTTCGAAAAATGGCCGACCTGAGAAATGACGGTCAGTTGCCTTCTGTTCCGGAGGGAGTCATGCTGTCGTCGCAGTCGAACCCTGGCGTTGAGGCGACCATTCCGCCGGATACACAGCGTCGTTCGACGACGGTCTTGCCACATTCTCCATTCATCACCAGACGAGAACGGCGCGATTCTTTGTAGGTTGCGCGTACGCGCTTTGTTTCGTTTGTACATGGTTTTAAAGTACAGGAACGAGCGAGCAGCTAAAGGACCCGTTCACTACGGTGTCGTCAAGTATTTCTGCCGCGAACAAGGCCATGGTTATATAACGTCGTATGAAACCGGCGAGGACGTGTTCGTTCATATTTCAGAGTACGTTTCGCTTTTGCCTACTGTAGAGTTTAAGCAAGTAAAAAAT